GTTCCTCTTATAAACCTAACATATTGCATCCTTTCTGGGTCAAAGCCCAAAGGGAAAGATTGGACATACACATCTCGAGGCATCTCTCTCATTCTTTCTCTATTTGCTCTCCCCACTGGCTTCCAGGGATAGAACAGGAGGCACAGATCCTTGGTAAATCTTAGTGCACTGTATACCTAAGGGGATCTGCTTGGGCTGGATGTTCTGGGCTTAGCTTTGATATGCAAGAGGGAAACAAAGATATGTAGGACATAACCTCCCAGGAAAATTGCCTGTTTTGCAAAGCTGTTGTCTTTCTGGCAAATCCAAGTGCAAATGCCAAAAACTTAAATATTAACCTTTTCTTTGTGTTTCTTTTACTTCTCTGCTCCACCACAAGCCTTAGACCAGCTAGGGAAATATTATAATCTTAGGGAGGCAAAAGAGAATGTAGCACATTAATATTTTTAAAAATTATTTTCACAAATATATTGCTGTAGATTGTATGGAAATTTAAAAATTTTATAGCATTTTTACATGTATTATCTGACAATGTCATTTAATCTTAACAACAGTCTTTTAAGGTGCCCATTTTATAGAGGAGATGATGGAGGTCAAATGTCCTCTGCTAGTTAATGGCAAACCCGTAGCTAGAATTTCAGATCTCCTGATTCCCATCGTAGTCCTCTTTCCTCTGTGCCAGAGATGGGGGCATAATTTGCATATTTGGAAAAGGGAACTAAGTTCATGAAGTTTGTTCATAATATACTGGTACTGGCAAAAAATTGTGATATTTGAGCAGTTTTGTCCACTGATAATTGCTTTTATTAAAAAAATATATACATGGTTTTAGTCTCTAATATCTGCTTCCATGATAACTAGGTGATTTTATACTTATTTTATTGCTCTTCTCACATTATTATCTGTCACTTGATATCTTTTACCATTTGCTTTTTTTCCCTCCTGGTTCTGACTCGGTTTCACTGGTTAATCACCTTCTCTAATCCAACTCCTCTTTTTACTTACCCTTTGATTCTAAAATCCTTTGACCTCATGACTGGATTGCTGCCTCCTTAACCCAGTAAGCAGAACATATTCTGCTGAAAACAGCAGGCCTTGTTTTCAGTGTGTATGTGTGTTTACATGGCACCCTGTGCTGCACTGTATGACTCAGAGAACACCCACTGGGACAAGATGCAGCAGGGAAATATATGCATAAGTAGAAAAAGAAGATAGGGAACTTAGACCAAGACTAACTGGCAACCTGGTCTCTGGGCAAATTTCTTGAATGGTTGGTTTCTAGCAGTAAGAGTTTGAAAGATTCACAGTGTTGCTGAGGAGTGGAATGTGTGACAGATCAGAGCTGAAGGCCAGTGCAGAATATGTCACTTTATAAAGTTTATGCACTTCCCCCATGAAAAGCAGAAGCTACCTGCTGCATACTGTGTCTGCCTTTCCCTAAACTCACCTGAAGCTTCCCAACTAAAGTATCATCAATTATATAGGATTTTGAATTTTTTTTTCTTTCTAGAATATAGGAAGATACTAAAGATGTTTGATGTCCTGAAAAGTCTAAGTATTGGAACTATTGTCTGTTCCCTGGACTGTGTTTTATCACCCTGTGAAGACAAGGGAGGCCTGAGAGTTTGGGCTCTAAGTTTGAGCTATATCCGGAAGTCCCTGGACCAGGCCCAGCTGGGGAGAAAACCACAGTGCCGTGCACTTCCCACCGTGGCTCTCACCTAACCCCAGTGCACAGGGCAGCTACCTTCTGGGTCCATCTCTTGTGCCTGTGCTTGGATTGCTGCTGATTCCTGGTTTAGATGGCTATCCTAGAACACTGGCTAAATATACGTTGGTCACATAGAAACATACATATTTACTAACAGAAATAAGTGACAGTATTTTCCCCCTTTAAGTGGCCTACTTACATTGTCATACCCAGAGTCTATTCTCTATATTCTCCTGAGTCTATATTTTCATAGCTTGCTGATGTTTGCATAAAACTGGTACAGCCTTTCCAGAGGATAATTTGGCAATAAGTTTCAAAATGTCTATTCAAAATGGCCTTTGAATAATCCAGTGTAAAGGAAATCGTTAAGATTTTGCCTAATAACTTAGCTAGGAGGTGTTCACTGCAGCTTCCTAGCAAACAGAGTAAATTATCAACCATCTGTGAGACAAATTACTGCACCAACATCAAAAATATAGAAGTGTGGAGATACGGTTTTAGGCATGAAAGGATATTTATGATATCCTTTTGAATAAATAAATCAAGTTTGTAGCAGTAAATGCAGTACATATATACAAGAAACTATTCCTATGCACACAAGAAATACCAGAGAGACCAAAATAATAGTTGTTTCTGACTAGTGTGATGAGTAGTGTTTTTTTTTGTTTTTTTTTAAAAAGATGACCGGTAAGGGGATCTTAACCTTTGACTTGGTGTTGTCAGCACCACGCCCAGCCAGTGAGCGAACCGGCCATCCCTATATGGGATCCGAACCCGGGGCCTTGGTGTTATCAGCACCGCACTCTCCCGAGTGAGCCACCGGGCCGGCCCCAGATGAGTAGTGTTTTTAATTAATAATAGGTAATTTTATTTCACTACTTCTATAGTGAACAGGAATTAATTTATGAAAAAGAAAATTGCCTAGCATTGAAACTGGACTCTGGAATAGACAGAGGTGACAAGGATCTGATGAACTGGGATCAGCAATGTACCATGTGTACTAATGTATGTTAGTGTGTTAGCAGTGACACCAGGCACAACTGACACCAATGATTCAGACAAAAGGATGTGAATACAAGAGACTCAAGAGTGGGCCTGCTTCAGAAGGACAATGCAGACTTGGACCATATTTTTACTCTCTTTACCTAAAATGTTCTGATTTTGTAGGATAATTGTTTACCTTCCTCATTTGACTTTAGACAAAATCCATTTTATATTGTTTTATTAAATAATAATGAATATGCAAAAAAACTTACAAAATAAGGATAAAGTGCATAAAATACTCATGCACAGAAATTCAGTGTCCCAGAAATGGAGCATTACCATTAACCCTATAAGTGTCCCCTATAGGCTCCTCCTTTCCCCATCTCCCTCCCCACCCTCTCTCCTCAGAGAAGACCATGGTTCTAAATTTTTTATCATTGCCTTGCTTTTCTTTATCGTTTTATTCCTAAACAATATTTTGTTTAGTTTTACATGGTTTTTGACTTCATGTAAGTGGAATTATACTTTATCATTCTTTAGCAACTTGAGTTTTGTCCATGTGATGTGTGTAGCTGTAGTTCATTCATTTCGCTATTGTCAAGTTTTCATTATGTAAATGCTCCTCAGTATATTTATGCGTGGTCCTGCTTATGGATTTTGCATGACTTGACAATTTGTTGCTACTCTGAAAGTTTTTATGAATGATCTAATGCTCACGTATAACGTCTGGTGCTTATGAGGAGTGTCTCGGGTTTATATAGAGATGTGGAACTGCTAGGTTGCAGGGTGTGTGAATGTTCAACTTCAATATAAAATGCTAAGTTATTTTCCATATTATTTTTATTTATATTCTTGCCAGCAGTGTATGAGTGCTTCTATCCTCTAGATAGTCACCAACATTCAATAATGTCAGATTTATAACTTTTTGCTAATTCAGTGAGTATGAAATGATTTAATTTGTATTTCCTTGAGCATAATGAAGTAGATCATGTTTTCTTAGGTTTATTAACCATTTGTGATTTCTCCCTATAAAGAATCTTTGAGTCTTTTGGCCCATTTTTCTATTGCGTTATTTCTGCTTTTAAAATTGGTTTGTAGGAATTCTGAATATTCGGAGAACAATCTTTTGTTAGTTATACATGTGAGAGAGATCTTTTTTCCAATTGTGTGGCTTTTTTTTCATTTTCCACGTAGTGCATTTGATGAAGAGACATCCTTAATCTTATCCATCCTTCCTTTCATGGTTTGCTTTTTTGGTGTCTTGTTTAAGAAATTGCTTCCTATGCAGATGTTCATAAATATAAACTCCTAGTTGTCTTCTGTTTTATAGTTTTGCCCCTGTGAATGGTGTGAAGGTGTCCAACTTCGTTTTTTCTATATGGATAAGTATTTGTTCCAGGACAATTTGTTAATAGACCTTCTCCCCAGAGCTCTTTCATAAATGAAGTTGCCATGTAGTGTGGGCCTGTTTCCTGGGTCCTCCAGAGAACACAGGCATTTGAGTCAGCCAGATGCTGAGGCACCTACCAGGAACATCTTTATCTTTTATATAAGGCGTTTTCCTCACATAACAAGTTACAAGTTGAGCTCTTCTGGGTGAATCTGTTGCTTCCCATCTTTTCCTCTGCCAGAATCAGTTCATCCGTGATGTTTTCTCACAGCTGCAGCTGCTCCACGTTCCGTGAATTACCACATCCAAAGTGGGAAAAGGCCTTCATATGTTCAATTCTGATCTTGAGGTTGTTCTGGACCACCCAAGCAGTGTGGGTTCAAGTTGCAAGTTCACGTGCAGTCCTGGTCAGCGTTATGAGTTCTTTTGGGAGGATTATTTTACCTGTCCATTCAGTGCTGATTTTTAAGACAGGCACCTGTCTTGCAGATCTCTGTGGGGAACAAAGGTACCAGTATTTATCTCTAGTTCACCCAATTTCCAGGGTGTAGCCCTGTGGGGGTGTCTCATCTCACATTCAACTCCTCTCCTTGAGTTTTTTGGGCTTTGTCCTCTGTCCCTCTACCCCATGAGACAGTGAGAAGGGCAGCTGGAATTCATCTGTGTGGCAAAGGTAGAACTCAGTGAAAGGTGGTTTTGTTTACATTTCTGGCTTCCCGTTTTCCGTTTGTTTTTTTGGCTTCTTTAGTATTCTTTACTTTCTTGGAGCTCATCATACATGTAGGAAGATTTTTTCTTTTCTGGAATTCTTAGTTGTTTTTCAGGGAGAGGGTCAGTCAGTGTACCTCTATGAAAACAGAACTTGGCTAAATTCATTTTAAAAATTGCATTATGTTTTATCAATTTTGCCTAAAGGTTTGTTGGAGACTGAACCGCTGCACGGAAGAGATGAAGATGCAGTAGCCAGTGCTGACTTCTCCAGCACGCTCTCTGAGGAGGAAAAGGAAGAGTTAAAGGCAGAATTAGTTCAGGTATGTTTAGTAATCTTATTATTATTGTCATTTCTATCTCCGGATATTGAGAGTTATTATTAGTTTGGTATAAGTCCCATATTGCCATTATGTTGTCTTTTATGTTGTCTTTTACTTAATAAAATTTAATAATGAATACATTGCAAGATGATTCCGTCTTTCCAAGGTATTTTTGTAATGCTAATTGTCCATTACTTGTTGGTTACAGCGGTAAAATGAATGGTTGTACTGCTTAAGCAACAATAACAATTAATTTTAAATATGCACCTCTTATTCTTTTTAGTACCAGAACCCTTTGGGAATAATAAAACCCTTGCAAACCTGAATTCATTCAAGAATTCATTCAAGACCCTGGGACAGGTGCATGCTCCTTTCTAACAGGGGTTCTTGTTTTAGGTCAGCAACTTAGCTCAACAAATATTTTGAAATATTTTTTAATGAAAAAAGTCAATCATAGAAGCAGCTGAATTTATAAAGTTGTCTACTCTTTTGCAGATGAATAAAGGTCTGTGGGTGGAGAGGAAAGTTATGATTAATTGAGGCTTAATTAGATCTGTGTAGTTGCTGTGGGGACTGGGACTAGAGGGGAGGAGGAAGGCAGGTTCATCATGAATACAACTTCTTGTTCCAGCATGTTGTTTGCAGGACCCGTTAACCCTCAAATACTTTGCTGAGGAGCCTTTATTTTCTAGGAGGAGAGGGCTGGAGAAAGGGACAGCAGGACAAGAGGGGCAGAGGCCGGCATCCCCTCCCCATCCTGTGTTCTAGCTAAGAGGGCAGGAAGCTCCTGTTCCCGCTGGAAGCAAGGCTTTGCCTCCCTGCTCTGATCTTTCTAAAGGCTGAGGACACAGCTTTGAACTCCCCCTTACACTCTCTCTCCCCCCTTGTCCACTCTGGACTCTCCCAGTTCTAACGTTCTGCTAGTGCGTGTTTATGAGAGCTCATAATAATATTGAAGACTTTTCAGGAGCTTTTACAAGGCATACCCTAGAATAATTTCATTTTAAAATAAAAGAGCAGCAGGGGCCGGCCCGGTGGCGCACTGGATAAGTACGCTGCTTGGGAAGCGCGGCGGCGCTCCCACCTGAGGGTTCGGATCCCACATACAGACCGGTTCCCGCTCACTGGCTGAGCGAGGCGCGGGAGCAGCACCGAGGGTTGCAATCCCGTTGCCGGTCCCCGGTCCGGTACGGGGGCAACACTGAGGGTTGCGATCTGTTGCCGGACACGGAAAAAGATAAAAGACAAAAAAAATAAATAAATAAAATAAAATAAAATAAAAGAGCAGCTTGTTCCTCTGCTACAACTAGAAATGATGTCAGTAAGCACAGTACCTTAAATCAAATACCTGGGTCTGTCTGTGGCCAGTGACTGGCCACACATACCGGAGTGTGCAGACCAAAGTCAGCCTTAATGGAAAATGGACTAGCTCATTTTCTTTCTCCCTGAAATTCTGGTTCATAACCTGTTCATGTTAACTGCAGGGTCCAAAAGCTATGTTCTGCAGACTGGTGTAAGCTAACTGACTCTAAGCTGAATCCTGACTCCTTCACAGTGGTAGTTCCAGTCTAAGTTCAGATACAACCTCTGTAACAGACCAACTGCTATAAAATGCCTTGATTTTTCTGGGTTCTGGGATTACTGGGATATACATACATACACACATGTATCAATGTATGTTTGCTTTTGTGCAATTTATATTTTCTAAATGTTTGACAATGAACATGTATTTCTTTTATAATCAAGAAAAAAGTAAACATTGATTTCAAATGGATGCCCCATGAATATAAAAAACTGGAAGTGTTTTCAGAAATTCCTGTCTCATTTGGCTCCAGTAATATGTTTCATTCCTAAGACTTTTTGAGCCTGACTTGTGAAAATAACACCAGACTCTGTTACTGTGTTCAAGTTTCTGGGATTCACATTTTCATCTTCAGAATGCATCAACCTCCCTGCTTCCTGTCTTTTATTTCTGGGTTCTTCAGAAATGAAGAAGTACCACACATTGCCAAAGGTAGCATCATCACTTCCAGAGGCACATGGGTTCAGCTGTCTGCCCCAAGCCCAATGAAAAGCAAAGGAAGTAGATCTTTGCGATTTTTCCTCTTCACGTTTCCATTTCTTCTCCCTCCACCTCAGGCCTCCTTTGCTTTATGCTCATTCTTTTCTTAAATCTGCTTTCCCTACCCCTTTACAGGTACGTGCATGCACACGCACACACACTCCAAGCGGGGTCTTGGCACAACAGACCCATTCAGATTTCACCTCCAGTGCTAGGATCTATTATAATGAGGAGACACAGAGAGCCCTGTCATCTTTCTCACCATGGGCCTTACAAAGAACTGAGATATCCCTCAGACAGCTCAGTTCCTCTGTCCCAACTCTCCTCAGACATTCTTCCTAGACCCCTGGTCACAAGCAACTCCTTTCTGTGTATAGGGGAAGATCCCCCTTACTGGGTCTATTAGCCACTCAGGTACCAAGACACCTCAGAGGCCAGCCTGTTGAATGGCTGCTTTTGAGTCAGGCACTCAGTTGTGGCCATGATCCAGAGCATGCATGACCTTTGTGTACTAGGACTTCTTATCTCTGACTGCTTTGCTGAAACGGGGTCTTGAGTGTGCCAGGTATCACCTCCTCTGGCTCACTCCTCTCCCCAGTTTCATCTGATCCTCCTACCACCTTCTGTCTACACTGGATCCCTCAGGCCTCCTCTCTTCCCTCTCCCGTCCCTCTTTCTGCACTGCTTTGTTATGAATATTCCCACAATGGTGCCCTTAGACTTTGGGTGATCTAGACTTCTCCTTTTGGTGGGAGACATAAAATAAGCCAATAGTGTCCAAAAGGCTTACATCTTGGATGAGTTCAGCATTTTCAAAGAGGAGTCTCTTTTATCACAATTTGATCTTTAATTTATTACTGTGATCATACAATATGTGTGTTCTTGAAAGTTCCCTGAATGGGAGGCCAGTATCACCTCTGATCTGGTGCAGTGGTTTGTGCATAGAAGGTGTGCGATTAATATTTATAATTAGCTTGAATTACTTTACAGGCTAAACTAGTATTGATATCTGTAAATGCCAAAAGTAGAATATGCTTTTTTACAAACTTTATCAATGTATAAAGAAGTACTATTTTGTTTCGGATATTACCAGCTGCTCCTGACATCTTCAGACCTTTACACATCTATTCTGTTTTTATTTCTCTCTCTCTTTTTAAAAAAACCTGTTCAATAATTCTGTGCTTTTATCATCCCACTCTCACTTTCATTTCACTAAGCTGCGTTCCGTGCTTAGCATTTTATAATGTGTCTTGGCTTTTGAAAAGGATGAAGTGTTGGCATTAGCACTGTGTATTTGTGATTACATAACAATCAAATTCTGCCAATGTCCCCAGATAAAATGACTCAAGAAATATAAGCATTAATTAATAGGAGTGGGAAAAATACCAGACTGCATTATCGAGGAAGCAAAGCCTATTTTCATGCTCCCTCCATCTCTCTTTTGGCTCTTTCCTCTTCCTTTGGTGTGTGGTTCCCCAAGAGGAACACACAGTGCCCTCAAGCTCCTCTCTAGCTATCCTCTCTCAGATTTGCAAGGAAATGCCTTAGGCTCTGTGTCTTTCTCTCTTGGTTCCATCCTCAAAACCTTCATCCTTTCTGGACTGAGCAAGTGAACAACTAACCTGTTCGTGACTGATAATGCTTTATTGTTATGCCCCTCCCAGATAGTATCTACATTTTAATCTTGGTTCTCCTGGACTCTTAGCCACAGGCAGGAGTAGCCAGAAGAAGACGGTGCAGGCCTTTAAGCAGTGTGTACAGGAAACCAAATGCTGTTACTCCCGAACATCACACTGATGATTCATAGTTTATGAAAGTATTTCTTCTTCTGGTTTCAGTTAGAAATTTTAACCTAGCAGATAAAATAGAAAAGTTTTCAGTCTTATAATAAATTTCATATTGAAGTTAATTCAGATTAGTTAATTCACTTTTTTTTGCATTTTTATTGAGTAAATTTATAGAACATAAAATTACCCATTTTAAAGTGAGCAACTCAATGGCATTTAGTACACTTGCAATGTTGTATAACCACCACCTCTATCTAGTTTCAAAACATTTTCCTCACACTGGAAGGAAGTCACTTACTTCCCATTTCTCCTTCCCCCAGCCTCTGGCAACCGCCAATCTGTGTTCTGTCTCTATGGATTTACCTATTCTGAGTATTTCATATAAATGGAATCATACAATGTGTGACCTTTTATGTCTGGCTTTTTTTGCTTAGCCTAATGTTTTTGAGGTTCATCTGTGTGGTAGCATGTATCAGCACTTTATTCCTTTTTATGGCTGAGTAAGGTTCCATTTTATGTATATACTACATTCTGTTTTTCCATTCATCCCTTGATGGACACGTGGGTTGTTTCCACCTTTTGACTATTGTGAATAGTGCTGCTATGAACATGTGTGTACATGTATTTGTCTGAGTACCTGCTCTCAGTTATTAATCTCAGGAGTGGGATTACTGAGCCATATCATAATCCTATATTTAACTTTTTGAGAAACTGCCATACTGCGTTTTTCACAGTGGCTGAACCATTTCATATTCCCACCAGCAATGTACAAATGTTCCAGTTCCTCCAAATCTTTGCCAACACTTGTTATTTTCCTGTTAATTCTTATTTAAATAATTAGGTTTAAGTATCTATTTTGGGGCATAAATATTTACCCTTTGAGAAGATTATCTAGGGAGTAAAGAAACCAAAAAAAGCAGAGTATTAGTTTCTAATGAAGAAACAATAAATTTAAAATTAAAAGGGAAAAGATATATTAAATATTTTAATTAATATATTAATAATATACTCCATCTCATTCTGAATTTGATGTGGCTTACAGAAGCACTTACAATATAGAGTTTCTATACTACCTGCATCAGAATATCTGGGGATGCTTGTTAAATAACATGAATTAGTCTGGCCCCACCAAATTTAAGAGACTAAAAGGGACATACACCTGGGAATCTGCATTTTAAATATGCTGTCTGGTGACTGTTACATAAACTAAAGTCGAGAACCATTGGTATAACTAGACCAAAAAATCTCATTAGTCAAATGAGCATCAATTTTCACCATCTTTATTTAAAGTATTTGCGATTAAAGACCTTCTTGTGGCAGGATTCTTGGCTCTGTAGAAAGAGAAATGGTTGGCCATTTTGAATCTTGCAAGTTAATATAATTTAAGATTGCATTTCCAATGCAGGTTTTGCTTAATAGATTTTTTTGGCCTATGTTTAGGTCTCTGGTAAACATGCTGAAAGCTTTGAGAAGTGTGAGTCTTATATTTTATGGAAATGGTTATAATTTTATTATATAACTTGAGAATAGACCCAACTAAGTAACCAAGTTCATGTCTCCATCATTAGAAGTCTCTTCCGCAGAAATGTCTTATAACATGTGTCTGTATTTTTAAATTATTAGGTGTGAGACTTTATATTTCTTTCTTTAGGATGATGTTTGGTAAATGGGTTGCTTCGGTGTTTCAAAAAAATCACTTTTTTGGCATCAAGATTTCATTAAAAATCTGATAACTCTGAATCCTTGCTAAAGTGAGTATTTGTATATATGAAGGTTCACAACACTGTTCTGTCCACCATAGGGGCAAAATCTTCCTTGCACAAGTAAATAGACTAGTTTTTGCAAAGGCAGACAACTTTCTTGAACTGCTTTTCTAGCAGCAATGTCTCTGGTGACCCAAGGAACACAATTTGCAAGGTGACTGACAGGGATAATGATGCAGTTTATGGTCAGAAGTAGAGCGACACTTTGAATGTAAATGAGACACAGCTACTCCTTTTTTTTTTTTTTTTAAATAAGAAATCTAGTAAAGTGGCAGACTTTTAGTACCTCTATACATAAGGGATACTAAGAGCGTTCTAATGATTTTTTTCTGGCTTAACAAAGAAAAGTCACAAATATCTTTACTTTTCAGAAAAGAAATATGTAAATTTAAGCACTATTACCAAGGCATTACATTATAGAGCATGACAACGGATTAAAACCAAAGACTTTGTGTAGGTCCAAATTTGTTTTCACAGGATATCACAACAGTCTTTAAAATCTGGGTATCATACAGACTCCTTGGTTAGAAATTACATTTGCAAGAGCAATTTTATAATGCTGAAGAGATCTGCTTTTCTGCAGCATGGGGGAAAGAGGAAATATGTCCATATATTTTCACTAGTCAAATGCAAGTGTCCTTCAACAGGTGAATAAACAGTAAACCTGGTACATCCATACAAGGGTATACTATTTTGCAATAAAAAGGAAAGAACTGTTGATGATGCAGCAAAGTGGATGAATCTCAAATAACTATGCTGAGTGAACAAAGACAGGCAAAAATGAGTACATACTATATGATTCAATGTATATAACATTCTGGGAAGTGCAATCTAAACTCTAGTGAAAGAAAGGTCAGTGGCTGCCTGGTGAGGCGGGTAGGGAAGAAGAAAGAAGAGGGAGGGAGGAATTACAAAGAGCACCTAGAAGGTGATGGGTTTGATCTCTGCCTTGATTGTGTGATGGCTTCATGGGTGGATGCATATGTCAAAACTTATGAATTATACATATTAAATGTGTGCAGCTTATTGAATGTCCATTATACTCAAGAAAACTGTTAAAAAGAGAAGGCAACACAAATCACTCCCTCACATACATCCTCTTGTTCCTTCCTTCCTTAAGGCACTAGTTTGGCAAAACCACAGTGTCTGTCAAATCCATTCCTGCACCAAAGCAGTTATGCGTGATTGGCAAAGATAAACAACACCCACTGGTGACACTTGAAGTTGTTTTACAAAATAAGGTGTACTGTATAAAACCAATTTTTGTTCAAAAATTGTATCTATGTGCAACTTAAGAGAAACATTGGAAGGTTACAAACCAGAAAATAAGCAATGGCTATTTCCTAGTAGGTTTTCATTTTCTTGTTTATATTTTTCTGTACGATCTGCGTTTTTTTACAAGGAGTGTTGACTAATTATAATCATTAAAACTAAAGAATTGATTTCTGTTTTTAGATATTGGAGCAGACTAACATCTGTACAGGATGTGTTTGGCATAGCCAAGCATGGACTGTATAAATAGGAGGATCAAGAGGCTGCTTTGGAGCACCAAGAGCTTTTGGAAATGTGCTTTTCAGCTGATCTGACATTTTCCTCCACCATTCTTCTTCCCACCTTAGCTAGAAGACGAAATTACAACATTACGACAAGTTTTATCAGCAAAAGAAAGGCATCTGGTTGAGATCAAGCAAAAACTTGGCATGAACCTGATGAATGAATTAAAACAGAACTTCAGTAAAAGCTGGCATGACATGCAGACTACTACTGCGTAAGTAAGATATTAACCGAATTTTTTTTTTTTTTTTTTTTTTTTTTTTTGTCCTTTTTGTGACCGGCCGCGCACCGTGCTCAGCCAGTGAGCGCATCGCACCGGCCATCCTTATATAGGATCTGAACCCACGGCGCCACGGGCTTGCCCCTTAACCGAATTTTTTAAAGTTTACTTTGCCTATTGTCTTGCCACTCTTCTGTTGTTTTATTTTGTTTTGTTTTCCTACAAGGCTGATTTGGTACTTGTGGCTAGGAAAAAATATTTTCTCCAGAAGCAAAATAAAGAAATATGAATAATCATTAAATATATCGTATGTGAAGTAGACTTTATAAAATGGCTTTATGAAATAAAACTATTCACTAAAGCCATTGTCACTCACACTACTTTCATGGGGTTTTATAGCTTAAATGCTTTTCTCTATTATTTGGTTTTAAACATTGGAAAAGGAAGAATTAGTAAAGGACACAAAAATCAACTCCATTGTATATTGATAAAATAGAATAAATAAAAAATAAACAAACATTTGTTAAATATATATTTTACTTTACCTTTACCATAAAAATTATAAATGGGCAGGTGGTTTTTTTCCACCAATACTTGACACTCACTGTGTATTTTGATTGCCTTTAAAAAATGGTTGGGGGTCAGCCCCATGGCTCACTCGGGAGAGTGCAGCGCTGGTAGCACCGAAGCCGTGGGTGGGTTCGGATCCTATATAGGGATGGCCGGTGCACTCACTGGCTGAGTGTGGTGCAGATGACACCGAGCTGAGGGTTGCAATCCCCTTACCGGTCAGAAAAAAAAAGGTTGGCAATTTTAGTACTTACTGACTTGTTGGTAATTGATTTAAGAAAGAAAACCTTGTACCTCTCATCTTTTGGCATGTGCTTTTCATCCTCACTATTCTAGGGAATATTTAGAACTGGGTTTATACCAACAGATATGATTTTGGCTTTACCATTGTGTTAGGCAAGGTACAAAATAACTCTGATTATTCTACAGTCATGGTTCTATTGGATTACTTTTTTAATTACATGAAATACTTAACTATGGTGGTACTTTTCTAATGATTTAAAATATTTTGCCTGCCAGGTGGTCTTGTACCAGAGGGAAGAAGGTACCCACATAGATGATGTGATTTTTCTTTTTGTGTGTTGAGGATTAGGGACTGATGGGGAAATCACAGAGACTTTCTATCTTTAGCCCTAAATTCCACCATCAAGAAATTTCTGTCTTTGGTTTTTGTTTTTGTTTTTTTGGTGACTAGCTGATACGGGGATCCGAACCTGTGACCTTGGTGTTACCAGTACCACTCTCTCTCTCAAGTGAGCTAACCAACCAGCCCAAGATATTTTTATCTTTGGGTTATGCATTTTCTTCCCTACTATCATCCATTGGAAGGTAAAGATACTGCATTTCTGATGCCTAAGTGGGAATCAGTTATTCTTTTTGTAGTACTTTTCTCCTAGGCATAGAGAGGCCTGGTAGTAAGAAGAAGAACCAATGATTAGCAGCTCTTTTTCCAGGAGCCAGCTTTGCCTGCAGTTCCTAAGAACTAAGGTATAAAGCCTTTTGCTCCTGTGCAAAGATGCCCTTTGTATGAGGAGTTGCATCTAAAAGGAGCCAGAAGTGTCCCCAGAGTGGCTCCCTTAGTTTCCATGAGAAGGAGAATGTTTCTGTCCTCCATAACATGGCCTAGCAATCCTATTGGCTTCTATGCTTGTGCACCCTAAGGACTCATCCAGACAGGGTCAGGGCACAGCTCAGAGTAGGGCAGGATGGAGCCAGGAAGCATATCAGTTTATCTCCAGAGGCTAACCTGCCTTCCCCAACCAGATGTTGAAAATTATGGAAGAAAATAAGAAACCACGTATTGATGTGCAGCAATGTAAAAGATATATTGCAACACTGTATGAACAGTCTCCTGAGAAGGGTAGTTGGGTTTTAGGCACTGTATTAGTCTGTTTCTGTTGCTTATAACAGCATGCCTGAAACTTGGTACTATATAAAGAAATGAAATTTATTTCTTACAGTTTTGGAGGCTGGGAAGTCCATGATCCAGGGGGCATATATGGCAAAGTGATTCTCTGCAGCAATGCAGGGTGTTGCAGAATGGCCCAAGCAAGAGAGCTAACCTTCTCCCTCACTCTCCTACAAAGCCATCCTAACCATGCTCATGACTCCATGACTGCATCAATCCATTCACAAGGGAACAGTTCTCATGATCTAATCACCTCTTAAAGGTTCCACCTTTCAAATACCATAATTGGATTTCCCACTCTTAACACTGTTACAATGGAGGTCAAGTTTTCAATATATGAACGTTTGGGGGACATATTTAACCCATAGTGGGTGCTAAATTACAAGCTTATCTGTCAGTAGTTTTGGCCTCAGTCTTTTCACTTTGGTGGCCAATACCAGTTAATGGCCCTGACAGGGTAAGGCTGAACAATCTCCAGTTCTCTGGGTTGGATCACCTCTGAATTTAATCCAGGTTTGGGAGCTTCATGTTCTACTGATCTGAATTTCCCTCTGGGGTGTAAGAACCAGAAAGGATCTTTCTGCTTGGCCTTCCTAGCCACACTGCAGGAATAAACTAACCACAAGGAGGGCAAAGCAATTCTAGTAACTCTGTTGCTGAAGGGGGAGGGGCAGGGAGCTGGGAATATCTGGGCAGAGGGTGTGTCAAGTTTGCCCTGTGCCTGATGGGGCAGGGTGGAAGGGGAAATAAGGGAGGGGAGAGATTCATACGCTTCCTGGTACCTGGAATTAGATCAGGCAAGTTCAAGGAAGGCTCCTAGCATCTTCCCACAGGGGAGAATAGTAGTTTACATTTTCCCATGCTCGAAAAACAAACTGGTTTTATAGCCAGGCGGTCTACTTGGTGTAAAGCTTTTTTTGAATGAATAGATAAGATTTACTCCCTGCGGTTATGGAACTTATAGTCAGAAAGACAGAGTTTGGGGATTTTACCAAGTTGGGGACAGAGAGGCGATAGAATTTGAAGATAGGCCAACTGAAATTCCCAATGGTTTGGAGGTGGACGATGAGGAGAGTAGAGGGACCGAGTGTGACTTTTAGGCCTTTGACTTGGGCTCCCGGGTGAGTATCGGTACTGTTTACTGTGAAGGGAGTACAGCACTGTGGTGAAGCTCTTGGGTTACAGACTCCATTGCTTTGGGTGAAATCCGAGCCTTGCTCTGTCTGTGAAATGAGATCGTATTAGTACCTGCTGCATAAGCAATGAGGATTCAATGAGTTATTATTTGTAACACATGCAGGACGGTGTCTGACACTTTGTCGGTATGCAGTAATTATTCTCTGTTGTGAGAATGATTGAAAAACAGGTCTGGAGGGGAGACTCAGGAATTCTGTTTTGACTGTGTGAAGTCTGAAATGCCCAATAGACAGACAAGTTTATATACTGAGAGGGCAACTCTGAGGAAAAGTTCAAGGCAAAGGTGGACATTTGGGAGTCATCTGTGTATAGATGTCATTGAAAGCTATAGGATTAGATGAGATTTCCTCGAAGATTACTTAAGAAATACAGATGATTGTGGACTCACTAACCTTTAGAAATGAGGCGAACTTCCCTTTATAGGGAATAATCATTCCCTTTCTTGAGGAGGAGGCATCAGTCTATCAACCGTATAGTTTCTGGAGAGGGTCTTTCTCCAACCCTTTTTTCTTGGCTACTGAGGGAAAGGGAAAGGTCTTAATCATAAGCTGGGGGAGAGAAAACAAAATCTACTCTCCCCCTGAATTAATTAGATCCCTGCTCTGTTAGTGATCATGATACCATTCCAGGACAAGATCTATACCTCAAATGATGAAATATTTGATGTGAGGGAATGATGAGCTGTGGTCAGGTCAGGTTGGGTAGAATTAGATTTCAAAACAGTAAAAAGAATTTTGGTTGTCAGAGGATGTGTGTGATTCCCAGAGGCAATACTGTGCATACTGATTAAGCAATCATGACCCATTTAGTTTGATTTATAATGAAAAGAAAATCTATGGTATGTTAATAAAAGATCTTGGCATATTTTAGTCTGCAATAGGATTCAAATTGGAATAGGACCGATGAGTAGGAATAATTACACAGCAGACTAAAATGATCTTTATAGAAGATTCCAGGAACACAGGAGCAGGTGATCATCTGTGTCCAGGGTTTGGTGTTGCTGTTGTTTTTGTCATAGTTTTTAACATGCTTAGATTTGAGAGAATCTAAAAACACACAACCCCACATCCCCTTATTTTCTCCTGCTTTTCTATGTTGTCTTTAGCCTTCATGGAGGCATGGGGGAGGTGAGTGGCTTTGGGGTGAAGAAAGTAGAGAAATTGAAACTCTTCTGTAGGTAGAAGTTAATCAGGGCATGCCACGTTGTGGTGGGCTGTTCAAACCGATATACTTCATTTATTTAATAAGTGTTCTGCTTTGCTAACCTCTCAATTTCCCCCACTGGCAAACCCCACTAAGTTATGCCAGAGACCAAATGGTAGGTCTAAAGAGGGTGAAAGATTTTGAAAAGGAATTTAAACTATCCCATATTTTTGAAAGGTTAAAACATAATCCTATGTAAAAAGGAGTAAATGCCTCATAGTCAGCGTTTAAAAAATGCACAGTGCTTGAAAATTGAAGTTTAGTTGATGATTTATTTACTCTTTCCTTTTGTGCTCCTAAGACTTTCAAGCCATTATGATCAGGAATGACTGTCATCTCTTTTTGTGGGGAGCCTGTTGTATAGCGTTGTTCCGTGTGGAAGTGCCACTGAAGATTGAAGACCTAATTTAAAAAGACTTACATAGCAATCTCTCACACAGTTCTCTATTCTTCTTAAGGCTTTCATCTTATTACACAAGGCAGAAGTGGATTCTTTTTTTCTAGATTCAAGTGGTAAATTTATGTTTTGATAACATGTTTAAGGAGACTTTAGAAGAAAATAATCCTTAAAGTTTTTTGTGTCTTTAGTGAAATGCTGCATATGCAACCATTAAAG